TTAAAAAGCAGGAAATAAAAAAAGAACTCAGAGCTCCATACTGTTTCAGAAATAATCCTTGACGTGGTTTAAACAGGATGGCGTTTTATCACAGCAGAATTTAACTTTATCTCCGGTAGAATTCTAATCAGGCATTAGCTCCGCCTCCTCTTCTTTATTTTTTTCAAGCTAAGGACCCAAAATCTGCGTTTCTCTAACAGGGCTTCAAAAGAGGGGTTTGAGCAGTATATGAGGCATGGCTACAATGAGTGATCTGTTTGGTATTGTGAAAAAAAAACTTCACAGACATGTTTTGTATAGGTATGGCCCTACAATATATTTTTAAAATATAGCATGATAGGTCCACTTTAAGTACATTTAGCTGATAATACATACTTTTTCCACCACTTCCACTGTATCATGACATTTATTACGTTTTTATGATGGGATACATTATTGTGTGTCATAAAATTAGACAATCCCAGTGAAAAGAAAAGTATATTTTCCACTTGAGGTATATAATCGGGCAGATAGTTGGATTTCACGCAGTGTCAACGAACATCATAGTCAAACACTCTACAATACATTTTGATTGTCACTTTTTGTTAGTGTTATGGCAGCTTCATGCATATCCCAGAGTATTATGATGTCTCTAATAGGTTTGATGGCGCTTAAATAATGAAGGGGGTAAAATGAAAGAAAGACACACCAAAACCTCCACTAACACACACACACACACACACACACACACACACACACACACACACACACACACACACACACACACACACACACACACACACACACACACACACACACACACACACCTCTCAGCTTGGCATATTAGTAATGCAGACAGTGTCACAGGAGCAGGGCAGGGCGCTGAGTGGCTTAATACAACCTAATGTATCCTGGCACATTAGCCCTTTCTTGAATTGAGCACCCTCACTCATGGAGACATACTTTTCCTTCCAAGCTATGATTTAACCAAAACACACCCACACACACACACACACACACACACACACACACACACACACTCTTGTGGCGGGACGCGGGCTAGTGCTGCATACACACACACACACACACACACACACCCACACCCACACTCACACACACACACACACACACACACACACACACACACACACACACACACACACACACACACACACNNNTTTCTTGAATTGAGCACCCTCACTCATGGAGACATACTTTTCCTTCCAAGCTATGATTTAACCAAAACACACCCACACACACACACACACACACACACACACACACACACACACACACACACACACACACACACACACACACACACACACACACACACACACACACACACACACACACACACACCCTACATAGGCCTACATTCCAACGTATATGCCCAAACTAATACTCAGATGGTATATCAGTGCACAATCAATAAGCAGAGCACATTTGTCTCAGATGAAAAAGCACAGAGGTACAAATTGAAATAAAAAAACTCCTACTCCATCTGCTCTTCCTCCAGCTGGCCTCCTCCTCCTCTTCTGCTCTTTCTTTCCTTCTGCCTTTTTCTCCTCTGTCTGTCTTGTTTTACTTTAATTTCATGCAGTCTTGTTATCATTCTCCGTCCCCCTCCCTCCTCTTTCTGATAGCTTTTGTCTTCATTCTGCACGTATATATATTCCTCCCATCTCTTTTTACTCCAGCCTTTTTATTCTCATTCTGTGCATCCTCTGTTTCTCTCGCTGCTTTCCCTCTTTAGTTGTTAATCAGAGTTGATTGGGAGCAGAGAGAGCCGAGAGGAGCTCCCCAGTGGATCAATGCCTCTAAATGATCTGTTCAAGGATCCCTTTAGAACCTGCAAAACTCGCTCTGATAGGGCACCGAAGCATGAAGGCGCTCATTTCACATCTAACTCACTTCCTGATTTGCCCTCTGGGAGAGAGATAGGGCTGCCGTTGGAGGGATAATTTGTCCCAAAGCTAAATATCCCACTAACCAAAAGTTCTTCGACCAAAATGTCTTCATTCCAGGCAATCAATTACTGCAAAGGTGCGGGGGAAGATGATGAATTTGTTTAAAAAGCTCAGTCTGTGTGTGCGCGCCCCCTGAGACGTCGAGATTGCCCAACAACTGTTTACGGGCATTTGATCGGAGACATTTTCCTGCTGCTCAAATTTACCGAGCTTCGAGAAACAAGATTTGCTAATGTGCTGCAGCTGAATTCAAGAAATGTTGTCGAGATGAAACATCTGAAATTAAATTGATTATATTCATGATGAGCGCTAGTTTAGGCGTCCTCTATCGACGCAGGCGTGTGCACATGCCCGCAAAGGGATGTCACGCTGATGAATTTCAAACAGCCATCTGATATGTTAGATGGCTTTCTGAAGAGTGAAACTTACATTTTGAATGAGCGCGGGTTGTTAGAGATCCATCCATCCATCTTCTCCCGCTTATCCGTGGTCGGGTCGCGGGGGTAGCAGTTGTTAGAGATGCAAAAGAATATAAAAGATGATCAAGTCAAACCCTTGGGATATATTATTTATGGAGTGCTGGTGAATAAAATATCTTAAATATCATGTATGTATTGTAGCCTATTATTTCACATCAGGGGGCTGATATTACATTACATTGCATTTAGCTGACGCTTTTATCCAAAGCGACTTACAATAAGTGCGTTCGACCAACCAAATACAAACTTGAAGAAAACAGAATCATATAGGGGAGAGTGGGGTAAGTTGAGCCATTTTTTAGTTTTGCTGTCCTCTAAGCAAGGAGAAATGACACATAGTAAATTCAGGATGTCTCCTATCAATGGCAATGATCATAATTCATATTTGATCAAGGGCAGTGAAAATATTACTTCTAAAAAAAAAAAATTCTTGTGGCTCAACTTGCCCCAGTATAGGGGTAAATTGATCCAGGTCAGGGGGTAAACTGGCTTTAGATAAGCCAGTCATTTATTACTTATTAATATATAAGTGCTTTGTTAATAATTCTATCGCTCGAAGTGGAGTCGAAAGAGATGAGTTTTCAGTCTGCGCCGGAAGATGTGTAGGCTTTCTGCTGTCCTTATATGAAAGCAAAATTATACATGAAACACTGTTATGTATTTTACGACTTGTGGTTGGACGAATACTACAATGTGGAGCCCTGACTCAGCGTTAAATGTAAACAAATATGAGTTAAGCTTTAGTAAAATGTTGCTAATAGGTTACCACACGGTAAATATTAAAGGTAGGGTATGTACGTTTGAGAAACCGGCTCGAGATCGCTAGAATTTGAAAATACACGACCGGAGAAAATCTGCCACTTCCTTATAGAGCCCTTCCTCCAACACACACGAACGCGCACATGACCAATGAGGGCACGAGATAAGTTTGTGCACAGATGGAAGGCTGACAGGCAGGTAGGCCATCCAGTTATTTGAGCCGGGTCGGCTAAAATGATTGGTCGTGCTTTTTACAGTAGCTACTACGGCTTCCACAGATGACTTTTTTTAATGGATTGTTTTCTCTTGGGCTATTCCTATTATCTTTTCGTCAAAAAAAAGACCAAAACCAGCAATTAAATTGATCTAACTATCAAGTACTGTGTGGGTAGCCTGAAGGAAGACATACAGTAACTCATTTGCTAAAAACTACAATGCCTAGCTGCTTTTTAAGATACAAATGTATTCGTTTTAAGGAAGATGTATATCCAGAATCTCATTCATTACATATAAGATATATAACAGCCAAACCCACATTGTAGAATCCATAGAGTATGGAGAGAGAGAGACTCCATATTGTTGGTTTTAATCGTTTAATGGCATTTGTTGGCAATAACAAAAATATAGAATATCGGTATCTTCATCCCTAAGAGAGACTGTTTCACTCCAGTGAGTTTAAAATGATAAACATATGTAGTTCCCATTTGAACAACATTGGCATCAAAACACAAACATAAATAAAGCCTTTATAATGTAAGCAGCAATATGTTTTTAATACTCTCTAACTGCCTTCAGACTGAAAAGCGATTGGGGAGCCTCCAACTGGGTTCAAGCACAACATTATGAATCCATATGCTCCATGCATTATTAGAACAAGCTCTTTCACTAAGTGCCAGAAGCAGACATCTAACACAATGTATACCATGGACAATGTGTGCATATACTAATATTTCTTCTCCAGTAACCTCTGACCCACTTCTTTTCACCATGCCTACCCTTGGTGATCCGATGTGTACGGAGCTAAGTGGGCATTCACCACAAACTCTATACTCTGCTTTAGGGGCTGAGGGATAATAATGTGCGCTCTCTACCATCACATGACCCACTTCTCTTGAGTATCTGAGGAGAAGCCTATCAGTGCAAAAAAATATTCCTCACATGCTAATAATTCCCATGAAGCATAGCTCGGCAAGCTTTATTTGAATTAAATTGGGTTACCATGCGAGGTTTTATGGCGTAACCAGAGGGATTGTTATTGATTTTTTTCCATCTTCCTCTTGTTTATTAAATCGAAAAAAAAGCATCCTCCGGGTTTGAATTTTTGCTGCAGTTTGAAATGAAACCTTTGGAGACTCCACGCATTGCTCAAGGACGCTTCGACAAATTCTTTCTGATAGAGGGTCATCAAACCATGCGTGGAGTCTCCAAAGGTTGCTTTTTCGGAGCTGACTTTTACAGATCTTCCTGTGGAGATGTTCAGGCACACATAAATGTCCTCACAGCGAGGATAAGATTGCATATAATTACGGCCACAGCATGACTGAACTAAGTGGACACTCAGGGCTGTTCTCTGTATGCTGTGCAATCATACAGAAATCTAATACAACTCGTAAATATTCATAGTATTGTGCTCGATGTATAGAAAGATGTAGGTTTTTGTTCTTAAAACAAGCTTGACAGTATCTCATTACACCTCAGTAAACCTTTCCTGAAGCCTTCTCACCCCTCTAAACTGATTCTCTGTGTATCCTTGAGACTGTTAGTGAGTATTCATATTCATGTTTTTATTCATTGTTGGCTCTGTGTCTTGCAGGTTCTGGCACGGAGAGTACAGGGTGGCAGTGAACATTAACGACTACCTGGACATCTACTGCCCTTACTACGAGGGCCTTCCGTCCCACGGGCGCATGGAACGCTACATCCTGTTCATGGTCAACCACGAGGGCTACACTTCCTGCCAGCACAGGATGCGTGGCTTCAAGCGCTGGGAGTGCAACCGTCCCAGCGGCCCCGACGGGCCCCTGCGCTTCTCGGAGAAGTTCCAGCTCTTCACTCCCTTCTCCCTGGGCTTTGAGTTCAGGCCTGGACACGAGTACTACTACATCTGTAGGTTATCAGCCAGGCAGTGTGTGTTTCTGTGTGACATTGAGTAGAGAGTGTTTGTCCTGTGTGAATGTGTCTTTGCTTGCGTGTTAGCCAAAATATGATTTTATAAACGATATGTAAATACGCAATCAAGATGAGTTGATTGAGAGAGTTCTCAAACACAACACACACCCACTGGCGGGCACACACACACCTTCCATCTCTCAATCGCTCCCCTTAATCTCTCACTCTCTTTATTTCTTGATGTATCTCTCTGCATCTGTCGCGATCATAAGTGGTGTGCTCAGCAAAGTGGTAAAAATGTCACCAGGCGTAGTTTGTAATCATTTTTATATTAGCTGTATTGATGTGTCTGCTCACTTCAACAAGTGATGTATTAGTATCGCAGATGGGCTTTACCCCCTGAGACTGTTTTCTGAACAGTTAAAAAGCTATCATTCGTGCACCAGGCATGGGGACAAGTAGTAGCTTCAAATTACTCTTAAACATTGTTTTCAGCTGCTCGCTGTGCCAGATGGATGGGATAGATTTACCCCATCCGGACTGTTTAGTGCAAGATCAGTGAGTAATCGCAGAAAAGCACGTTAAATTGACTTTCAAAAGCTTTCCTGTCAATGCCTAAACTTTCTGTCACTGCGCAGAGAAGTGCCACTTTTTTCGTCGTGGAAACTGCAAGAGCTGCTGGGCTTGTGACAAAACCTTTCACTGTTTGAAGTGGCACACCAGAAGGGAGAATGTGTGGAAAGTAAATGACTCTTCTGAGAGAACACAGTCATAATTCACAAAATCACAAGAAAGCACATGTTAGGAGAATGTATGCGTAGGTTTTTGGAAGTGTTTGAACAAAGTTTTCAGTCTGTCACCGCCTTGCCAGCTGAGGATTGAAATTCATTTACAAAAAGCCAATCCTATAGCAGTTCATTATTTCTCTCCTATATCTCTAATAAAATTACTTTTCTTTAAAACCAATGTAAAAGGTCCTCTTCTAGCTAGTTTTGTGTTAACTCTCTGAAAGTCATACCAAACCTTACCTGCCATTGGTATCTTTTTCAGAATTTGTCACATAGAAAATGACCCCTACGGCATTTCAGCCACTGTGCGCTGGTCTCTTTATTTCCCAGCTGTGTTTCTGCCGACTGACAGCTGACCTTAACCTTTCAGTAGGAGATGATGCATTCTCGCCGTGACACATAATGGGATAAGGGTCCTCTTCCATCAGTTTCAGGCCGGCATACAAGTGGGAGATATCTCTTGATGGAGTTTTTTGCCCTTGGGTACAGAATCTGACCTTACAGTAATACTGTCCTTATTCGGTCATCGGCTGGAGTGATCAGCAAAGGCAAACAAATATTCCTAGGCAGATATAGAGGCTTCAATTCAATTTGTTGTAATTTTTTTTTTCTTCGAATGCAGTGACACCATTTAAAGAGTCTCTATTATGTGTTTATTTAATGAGTTCCCTCCATCACTATTTGATTTATTTACTTTTATTAATGAGCACTTATTATTTGCAGATACTTAATCACCCCATTCTGTTGTCCACACTGTCACAAAGACACAGCAGGCGAGAGTCACAGAGCCAAAGAGGCGAAGATAACAGCCACCCGATGTCCTACTGCACTTTTCCCAGTCCACACACACACACACACACACACACACACACACACACACACACACACACACACACACACACACACACACACACACACACTTTTGTTTTCAGCCTCATGTAAGGATGGACAGGGCCCCTCCAGAGTTGTATAGTTGCTGACTATAGTATTGTATTTCTAGGACCCCTGAGGGGAATGTGTAGTCCACAAGATTGGAGTGTGTGTGTGTGTGTGTGTGTGTGTGTGTGTGTGTGTGTGTGT